CTTCTTGGGTATTTCGACGGCCTGGTGGGCCGCCTCGATGGCGACTTGCTTGAGTTTATCGATCTCATCATGTTTCTCCGAACGCATGTTGGTGATCTCGCTTTGCAGCGCGTTGACTGTGGTCTGGAAGTTCTTCATGTTTGCGATGAGCTGGGCGTTGGACTGCTACAATGCGGCGAGCATAGCCGACATGGAGATGTCCGAGGTCATGGGCGTAGTAAACCCCCACCAGGAGGCATTTGCTGAGGGGGCATTGTGGGCGGTCGCGGTGGAGCGGCCATTTCTTCAACTGCGCTTGGTCGAGCTTGATCGTGAGAAGTCGATGCCCAAGGTGGCGTGGCTGCTCGTGATGGCGCAGTTGTCGCTGCCATGCCCGTAGGTGTGCTTGGCAACGCTGCAGATGAAGCCCGCTGGCCTGGACGGAAACGTACTGGGGTGTGCTCTCCATCTGCCATGAGTTCATCATCATCTGCTTCAGGTCCAGTAGTATGAACTCCTGCTATTGTCTGCTTGCCCTTCAACTCCTCAAAGTATTCAAGCAGCTGCTCAGGCTGGATCAGCTCCTTATGCAGGGCCTGGCACTGCTCTGATGCAGCGTCCAACTCCTCCTGCAGATGGCTGTGCCGCACCTGCGCTTCCATCAAGCACCTGCGGCATCTGGAGACGAACGGCTTCTGTTTGGGCACCCGGGCTTGCGGAGACCTGGAGTGCATCATTTGGTATAAGACGACATTGCATTCTTCGCGAAGGTTCTCGATCTGGTCGACGTCCAAGTCCAGCTCGATCGCGCAATGAATCTGCCTCTCCAGGGACTTCATCGTCGAGCTGAGGGCCTTGCGGAAATCGCCGAGCTGCTTGGGGTAAGTGGGCAGGTCATGCCACTTCTTTGACTGGTGGCTAGTTCCGGAGCGACGGGCATGATCGGAATGAGGTAGTCTGCCGTGTCACATTGGGCTTGGCCAGCTTGGCGGGCTGCGCCGATGCCGACCTTCTCGGGGCCCTTGGACGAGAGGGTGTGGGCCTGCTTGCTCCTACAGGCGGCGCCTCTGGCTGGCACGTCTTGCAGGTATCCGACGGCCAAACGTTGTGAAAGGCATAGGCCAGGCACTCCCAGAGCCTCTTGTACTTGGGCGCGTGCCAGGGAGGTTGCTGTGCTTCACGGTCTTGACGTCCTCCTTCGGGGCGCGCGACGACGACGGCCGGCCATGGGGCTGCTGTGATGCCGTTAGAGCAGCTCAGCAGCAGCGGGCTCGGCTGCGGTCCTTGCGCAGGCGGCGATGCCAAGCCGACTCCTCCCTGGGGCGCCTGCCTGAGTCCGTGGCAGGCGGCCGGGGCACGGCTAGCCCAGCGTCGCGCGGCGGGCGGGCGAGCTCGTATGCCAGCAGTCTTGGGAGAGGTTCGCCAGTAACCTGGCACGGCGTCCAAAAGCCCTTGGGCCGGGACGGCGGGCTCGGCTGCGCTCCTTGCGCAAGCGGCGATGCCAAGCCGACTCCTCCCTGGGGCGCCTGCCTGAGTCCGTGGCAGGCGGGCGGGGCACGGCCAGCCCAGCGGCGCGCGGCGGGCGGGCGAGCTCGTATGCCAGCAGTCCTGGGGGAGGGTCGCCGTGATCTGGCACGGCGCCCAAAAGCCCCTGGGCCGGGACGGCGGCTGACGAGGAAGAGGAAGGAGGAGGTAGGAGCGAGGAAGCAGAGGGAGGAGGAGGAGGAGGAGGAGGAGGAGGAGGAGGAGGAGGAGGAGGAGAAGGAGGACGAGGAGGAGGAGGAGGAGGAGGAGGACGAGGACGAGGACGAGGAGGAGGAGGAGGTGGAGGAGGAGTTGTCCCCCCGCTGCGACGGAGAGGGGCGAGCGGCTCGCGGCCTCCTGCTTGCCCAGGCGGCCAGGCCTCAGAAGCTCGTGCGAGCGCGCGAGCTGGCCAGTCAACTGGTCGCTGCCGAACTGCTCCACGCTGAAAGGCCGACTGAGTCGTAAAAGGCGAACTCTTAGAGGCGCGAGCGTGCCAGAAACCGGGCCGTCGGACGAAAGAGGGAGGATAGGGAAAGGGGGAGGTACGAAATCCGCAGCGTGCAGCTGGTCTCGGTCTCGCCGCCAGGCGATCTCCTCGATACAGTGGCACCTCTGGCGCCAGGAGGCGTTCCGAACACCCGCCACGTGAGCTGATTCGCTACCCTTCTCCCCTCCCCTTCCTCCTCCTCCTCCTCCTCCTCCTCCTCCTCCTCTTCCTCCTCCTCCTCCTCCTCCCTCCTCCTCCTCCTCCCCTCCTCCTCCTCCTCCTCCTCCTCCTCCTCCTCCTCCTCCTTCCTCCTCCTCCCCTCCTCTCCTCCTCCTCCTCCTCCTCCTCCTCCTCCTCCTCCTCCTCCTCCTCCTCCTCCTACCTCCTCCTCCTCCTCCTCCTCCTCCCTCCTCCTCCTCCTCCTCCTCCTCCTCCTCCTCCTCCTCCTCCTCCTCCTCCTCCTCCTCCTCCTCCTCCCTCCTCCTCCTCTCCTCCTCCTCCTCCTCCTCCTCTCCTCCTCCTCCTCCTCCTCCTCCTCCTCCTCCTCCTCCTCCTCCTCCTCCTCCTCCTCCTTCCTCCTCCTCCTCCTCCTCCTCCTCCTCCTCCTCCTCCTCCTCCCCTCCTCCTCCTCCCCCTCCTCCTCCTCCCCTCCTCCTTCCTCCTCCTCCTCCTCCTCCTCCTCCTCCTCCTCCTCCTCCTCCCCCTCCTCCTCCTCCTCCTCCTCCTCCCCCCTCCTCCTCCTCCCTCCTCCTCCTCTCCTCCTCCTCCTCCTCCCTCCTCCTCCTCCTCCTCCTCCTCCTCTCCTCCTCCTCTTCCTCCTCCTCCTCCCTCCTCCCTCCTCCTCCTCCCTCCTCCTCCTCCTCCTCCTCCTCCTCCTCCTCCTCCTCCTCCTCCTCCTCCTCCTCCTCCTCCTCCTCCTCCCCCTGTGCTGTCCGCCCCTGTCGTCAGACCCGAAGAAGCTCCCCAGGAAGACGAGCGCCCGTGTACGCGTGCACGGACGCCGACCCTTCAGCAGGCGACTGCGCCGGGTCGCCGCATCGTGTCTCCGTGGCTCGAGAGGGCAGCACACGAGCCAAAGGCACGCGCACGAGAGCTGGCGAGGGCCCCGCAGCACCGACGAGCGTGTGCTGGAGACTCTTGACCGACCGATGCTGTCCTCGGCCCTCGGCAGGATCGGCGGCGTACCCAGGGGGGAGGTGCGAGAGGGCAAGCCTTCTCGGAAGGCGGCCGAGCTTCTCAGAAGCCCTCCGGCCTTCCGAGAAGCCGCTGCTGTCTTCGGAGAAGGCTCGGGAAGCTTCTCAGAAGGCCAGAGGCCTTCTGAGCCTTCTGAGGAGGCCAGCCCCCTTTGCTTGCCCCCCCTGGGCGCGCCGCCGATAGGAGCCCGGTATGCTCGGGAGGCCTGCCTCTAGCGGCCTGTCGACGCATATGGGGCCCCCTCGGCAGGCACTTGCGAGCCAGGCCCGTCGTCGTGAGCTCGCCGCTTGCCACACGCGCTGCGCTACCACATCCGCCTGTCCCACACCGTGGCATGCCCGTGCTCTTCGGGAGGGAGCTGGACGCCGCCGAGGGCGGGGGGGCACGGGACTGAGTGACAGCATCAAGCGTGCCGACGAGCGAGGTCATAGCTCCTGCCAGCCCGAGCCTGGCACCGACCTCGGAAGAGCAAGTGGCCAAGGTGGCCGAAACAGCTCGATCAAGCCGTAGTGCGGCAAAACGGCGTCCTGACGGCTCGACACATGCCCCGCGCTGGTCGGTGGAACGTGGCAGGGGTGTCTGCGCGGCCCCATGAACGAGGAAAGCGTGAACCGCTCTCTCCCCGCGACGGTGGGCGGAAAGGGCCTCGCCCTCGAGTGATGGAGGAGGTGGCACCTCTTCTGCGGCGGAAGCTGGCGGAAGCGCCGGAGTCGGGTCGCGTCGACCCGGCAGGCCCCCCCTCTCTGCGCCCGCGGGGCCCACGTGCGGCGCTCGAGACAGGGTCTCGCCCTCGAGTGATGGAGGAGTTGGCACCTCTTCCTCAGCAGGAGCTGGCGACATCGCCGGGTTCTGGTCGCGCCGACCCGATCCAGGCGGGGCCTCCCCGTCCAGGGGTGCGGTCAGCATCGCCTCCCTGGCGCATCACGCCGCCAGGCCTGGCCCACCGCGCTTCGGCGCGACACTTTTTGGTCGGCGGGGCGAGAGCGAGCCTCTTCCGCTAAAGACTCGGCGGGCCACGCACAGCTTTAAGTAGGGAGACGGGGCACAGGAGGGCGGGGCTTCGGCGCGACACGCCAACCACGTCCCAGTCCCCAGGCGTCAAAGTCGCGAGGCTTTCTCAACCTCCCGCCCCGCGGGGCGGAGCGACGCGCCATCAGCTCCTGATTGGCGTGTCGCCATGGCCGCCGCCGCGACACGCTGAGCAAAAGTTCCAGGCAGTAGAGGAGTTGGCATCTCTTCCTCGGCGGCAGACGGCGGGAATAACACGAGGGCGGCTTCGCCGGCGGAGGGCCCGCGAAAGCAGGCGCGAGCAAAAGATACGCCCACCAGGTGTGTCAACACGTCTGCACTCGGGGGCTTGCACAAGGGATGCTGAGCGGCCTCGACACCTGGATCAGCCTGGGAGATCCAAAGGCTTGAGCACACGGTCGCGACACGTGGCGCATTGTTCGCGCACGCTCGAGGGAAACAGGCGAGACTCCCAACCAGCTGCCCCCCTGAGTGACCGATCCCCCCCGCCGAACCAATGTGGCCAAGCGGGCGCCTCCGTTCGGCAGTGTCCTAGGCTTACCCTCGCGCTTCTCGGTGAGCTTGGATCGCTGCTGCATGCTGGTGCGCCGGCGGAGCGGGATGCCTCCAGCGCTCCATCGCTATCCACGCCTGGGTGGGTGATCGTGGTGGTGAGGGGAGGGGGAGCAGGAGGAGGAGGAGGAGGAGGAGGAGGAGGAAGAGAAGCACGTAGCGAAGGAGGACGAGGAGGAGCACAGCAAGAGGAGGAGCAGGAGGAGGAGGAGGAGGCACCCTCCTCCCTGTTCAGGCCAGCAGGAAAGCCCTCGCAGCGGAGCCGATTGCAGCTGCCGGGCCTGGCGGTGTCCGCGCCTAGCGCTGCGCGTGTCGATGAAGGGCCTGGGGTTTGCGGTGGAGGCAGGAGGAGGAGGAGAAAGAGGAGAAAGAGGAGGCGGGGAGGAGGAGGAGGAGGCAGGAGGAGGAAGGGGGAGGCGCGGGGCGGCGAAGGCATGAGGGCGCATAGAGAAGGAAGAGGAAAGGGAGGAGGAGGACGCGGACGAGGGCAAAGGCGAAGATGACGAGGAGGACAAGGATGAGGAACAGGAGGAGCAGGGGGACGACGAAAGGGCGGAGAAGGAGGAGGCCGCGTTGCACCCGCGACATGTGTGGGGGGGGGGGGGGCGTGCCCACCTAGGCCTTCCAGGGGCCCTCTGGGACTTCCCTGTGCTCTCTGGAACCCGTATGGGCCCCGCACAGCCGGACCGAGGTATACGATCGAAGTGGGCTCGGGGAGGGTACCCTACTGTTCTCCGTGTTTGTTGGATGTTCTTGTGCACCCTGGGGAGCGCACCCTTGGATGTCCAGTGTGTTCTGGCCGGCGGAGGGTCTCAGGCACCTGAAAGGTGTTCTTCCGTCTCAGGCCCGACTGTAGGGATGCCTGGGTTTCGGGGCCTCGTCGGTCTTCCCGTGCGCTCCCGGGGGCAGTCCGGAGCCGACCGGGCTCCTGGGCCGCTGATCGCGAAAAAAAACGTGTCAGCGGATGTCAGGGATTCCCGCGTCCTCTTGCATCGCGTGCGCGGCCCCTTTTGCGGCCTGCAGCCACAGCCCTCGGCAGCGCCAGCTCCACCGCTTCTGCTTTTTCTCCTCCATCCTGCGGCGCTGGATCCTCGCTTTGAAGTGGCAGCAGCCCGCGTCCCACCTCCTCCTCCTCCTCCTCCTCCTCCTCCTCCTCCTCCTCCTCCTCCTCCTCCTCCTCCTCCTCCTCCTCCTCCTCCTAATCCCTCGCAGCGTATCTACTCAGGAACGCATTTGCCTTGGGAGGCCCCTTTAAGTATGAGTGCGGGAGTGTCCGCTTTGCTTGCGTTTTTCTGATCCCCTTAGCGCTTTCGATCACCGATTGGGGAGGCGGGGGAGGGAGCGGCTGAAACTATCTCCCAGTTCACAATTCATCGAGGACTACGGCTGCGTTCAGACCCCCTCACACGTCATGAAAGGAATGTCAATGTCGATTGTTCGTTCAACCCTGGTCCCGATAGCCGCTTAGATCTTCACACACACATACACGAATACGCACGTACACATCCGTAACCATGTTGGTTCAAGCCAGGCTTGCCACTGGTTATGCCAATTCGCATACCCGCTGTTCATGACGTTTCCCATCTCGGCCTAAACCTGAGATGATGATGGGCCCTGCCTCGTCCCTCCGCGGTGCTGCTGCTGTCTTCTCACTGATCGCCCGCTGCTTCCTCGCGAGTGCGCAGCTCACGCTGTACTTCTTCCTGGTCCATGTGCACTGGTGCGACTTCGCGGCGACCTCGCACGCAGTCAGCTCGATCCCGCACGGGTGGCTGTCTCGGGCACCACGGCGCCTCAACGCGGCAGCGAGCATCGCCAAGCATGCGCGAAGCTCTTGTCGTGCATCCTGCCTTTCTGGAGACGTACGGAACGGCCTCGACGAAGGGCACACACGAATGAGGATGATTTTGGCTTCCGTGATTGCGGTGACAAGGCTTTCACGCTGCGTCTTGCTGATTGCATCCGCTCAGACGCTCCCCGCACCCGTGTGCCAAAATTTATTTGAATGATTCGATTCGTTCCGTCGTTGTTGTTGGAGGCCGCATTTATCCCGCTGCGACTGCACGCGAAGATACTCGCCCAAGCCTGGACGGAGCTGTCCCAGTGCTGCTTTTGTTGCCCCGGTGGGCTTTGATACAAATTTCGACACGGACGGTTTGCACCAATTGGCGGGCACCCAGAATGCCACGATTGCATTTTCAGCGTAATAAGTTTACGTTTGTTTGCGACGCCCGCGCCGTGCATAATGCAACCGACTTCTTCCCCTCAAGATTTGAGTCTGGATGCACTGGGCGGGAAGATTGTTGGCATCGCCTCTACTTTGGGCCCCTCTTTCGAAGCAGCATTGGACAAGCGGCTGCCGCCTAAGCTCGAGACGCTCAAGACGGGCACCCCGGGAGACGCGCAGAAAATGATCTCCACCTCGGTCGACGCCGCCACCCCCGACCTAGCGGGCTTGCGCATCGAGATTCAGTCGAGCGTTGAGGGGGCGCTTGTCTCCCACAAGCACGACGCCGCGTCAAGTATTCACACGGCGCGCCAGGGCCCGATCGAGGCCGTCGTCACGAGGCAGGCAAAGCAGCACCAGGCAGCACAGGACAGGCGCGCCACCCTTGAGGAAGAGATCAAGCCTCGCACGCGCAAGCACGATATTGTTCTCTAGGAGCCCGGGGTTACCGAGCTGCCCGCTCTGCCCCGCGACGCGGCCCACCCCTCCGAAGCCAATGCCGCGCCCGAGGACCTCGCCAGTCATCCCCGGGCAGCGGGGCTCCAGGACGCCAATGGGAAGCTGATCTCATGCGCGACCTGGCGATGATTGTCGGCCTCAAGCATCTGTCTTTCACGGTCGAAAAAGTCGAGACGGCCGACCCCGCGCAGAGCAGTTGGAGGACGAGAGTCTGTCGGAGGCTCCGTTGCGCCCGAAGAAGCCGCGGATCTCGGAAGGCACGCTTGAGCTCCTGCGCCAACGCAGCCCGGCACGCTCGATTTGCGATGCGAGCGCACAGCGAGATCTAACCGGTCGACATGGCTAGAAGATAAAATCGCAACGGGAGACAGATGCTGAAGCTCCGAAAAGGCGGCGCCCCGCCTCGAAGAAGGGCCGCCTCCAAAACGCGAGCGGGGAGCTCGTGGACTCGGACTGCTCAGCGAACGCGCCGGCGCAATATCTCAGCCAAGTTCAATGGGCAGCGCGGTCGACTGACGCAGCTGCGACCCACGACGCCCACGACGCCGAGCTCACGGCGTCGCGCGCGCCCGGGCTGCTTCCAGGCCACGGCCCGGCAGAACTGCTGGCAGGGTCAAGTTCCCAGGTGAGCTTCGGGGAACAATTTGCAGGCCTGGATCTGCAGCTTGCCAATGAGCGACTGCACTCTGCAACAACAAGTGTCGGCATGAACACGTCGCTCGAGATGGGTGGCGCGAGGCGATCGCGGGCGCTATCTTCAAACAGGAGACGCTTCGCCGTGCGAGAACTACAGGTCGATGTCAGCAGTTTCTGTAGGACACGAGTCATTCGCTGCAGTTCTTCTCAACAGACTCAAGATCCGAGGTGCAGAGCAGAGGGCACGGAGCACCCAGCTTGGGTTTGCGCGGCGCAGCGGATGCGATCTCATTGGCCCAGCGCTTACTGGAGAATACGTGGGCAGAGCACGACGTGCGTTTGGTGTTCCTTGCTGTCGACTGGGCCGAAGCAGTCGGCGGCGTTTCGCCAGATGCGCCGCGCTGGGCCTCGCAGAGATTAGGCGCCCCGTCGTTCGCAAGCGTTGCGCGAGCGATCTGCACGGACCGGACGTTCGAGGTCTGGGGCGCGGGGCCAGCGTTATCGCAACGTCTGCCTGCTATTGCGCTGACTGTTCTGCTTGACGGCGGGAAGCGAGAGGCGACGCCCAACCTGGACCCGACGCAGCAGGCGCTGGAGCTGGCGCGCGCAGACGGCGCCCTGCTCGCGGCCGCCACGGGCGAGGAGGCCCCCGAGCAAATGCATTGCGCGCGGCGAACTGGCCAAAAGTATAGTTTCCAATTCGACTGGCGAAGACTGGAAGTTCTGTTGGAGAGGTGCAACGCGCGCACCCTGAAACCGGGCGGGAATGTAATTCCGCAGAGGTATAGCAGAATCGACTTCGGGAGCTTGATAGCCAGCGATGGGAAAGTCGGCACGGCGCTGTTCCGCCGACTGGGCGCTGCCAGGGCCGAGTTTGAGACTCCGGCAAGGTTGTGGTCTAACTCTACACTGGACAAGTCTCAAAACAATTGGGGATCTCTGGAGGCGGGGGGTAAGCCAGCCGCTGCACTACCTTCGCACGTCTTTCCTGAGCAAACAAATGCTTCGCAGAGTGGACGCCTCCCAAGACAGGTGCCTCCGCAAACAGATACGCATTCCGCATTCTTACATATGCAGAGTATTCGATGAGTGCGTTCTACAGCGCGCCAGATCGAAGCCGCTGAACAACGCTCCGCTTCGCCGCCAGCTTCTCTTTCTGGGGCAGGTTACCCGGGAGCCGGGCGACGACCCCGCGAGGCAGACGGCGTTCCGGCCATTATCACGCGACTTGGCGCTGTCCATGTTTAAGAAGAAGTGGGGGCCACCGAGACAGACGTGGAGATGTGAGATTCGTGCGCGCACTTTCTGGGCAGTGGGGGGCGAGGAGTCCCTTGCGCATCTGCGGCAAAATTCAGCGCAGTCCACAGGAGCCTGGCACGAGACCGTCACGCAGCATTGCGACGCCCTCTGAGGCTGTCCTACGTTGATGGGAGTAGGCGTGCACCACTGGAATTCCTAAACGCTGATGCTGCACCAGGCTTGGGGCAAGAATGCGCCCCCTTCGGCATACTGAGATGGAGCACCGCTTGAGCTGACCAGCAATTCAGACCGAACGTCACAAGATGCCCGAAGCACCGCCGACGAGAACAAACGCACTCACCGCTGGATGTTCCAAACGATGTTGTTGCAACAGGCGGGGGGGCAACGCGCGCGCTGTAATTGCATGCTGATATGGAACACCGCCTGCGCGGAACTGCGTATGCAACTGTCTTGTCGTAAACAAGCTGTGGGCCGATATTCGCATGGTGCTCGAAGCAAAGTCGGCGGGAGCGAACGCGGGTCAAGCGGTCAGCGGCCGCGCCGAGAACGACGCACAAGTCGACCAGCAATAGTCAAACGATTACAGGCCTGAAACAAAAAGCAATCGGCGGGCAGCGCCGAAGGGGGGGGGAACAAACAACAACAAAAAACTATAGGAAGAAGGGGCCCGCCAGGGCCAACGACCGCTCTCTTCAGTCCGAGCCCGGCCTCCTCCCATCAGATATTTCGGCACTTGGCCCCGTTG